GACTGACTCACTGACTGATTCACTGATCACTCACTGACTCACTCAGACTGACTCACTGACTGATTCACTGATCACTCACTGACTCACTCAGACTGACTCACTGACTGATTCACTGATCACTCACTGACTCACTCAGACTGACTCACTGACTGACTGACTGACTCACTGACTGACTGACTCACTGACTGACTGACTCACTGACTGACTGACTCACTGACTGACTGACTGACTGACTCACTGACTGACTGACTCACTGACTGACTGACTGACTGACTGACTCACTCACTGACTCACTGACTGACTGACTGACTCACTCACTCACTGACTGACTCACTCACTGACTGACTCACTCACTGACTGACTCACTCACTGACTGACTCACTCACTGACTGACTCACTCACTGACTGACTGTCTCACTGACTGACTGACTGACTGACTCACTGACTCACTGACTGACTGACTCACTCACTGACTGTCTCACTGACTGACTGACTCACTGACTGACTGACTGACTGACTCACTCACTGACTGACTCACTGACTGACTGACTCACTGACTGACTGACTGACTGACTGACTGACTGACTGACTGGGTGGTGCAGTTCCTCTGATTGTCCTGTTCCTCTACAGCTGCTCCCACTCAGGTCCCAGGCTGCTCCAGGTATTTCCAGTATGAATGCAGAAATGGGCGCTGCATTCCAACCTGGTGGAAGTGTGATGGAGAGAATGACTGTGGTGACTTGTCAGATGAGGCCCAGTGCACAGGTGCATCAGACAGGTTTTTCTCTGTACTTCACCACATATTGTAGTTATTCGACCTTTGACAGGAAGTTAACATGGAGCTTGTATTGATTGTAGGTGGAGTTACCCCTCACAGTGTGACACCTGGCCCCACTTCCTGTGCCCCAAACCGGTTCCACTGTGGATCTGGAGCGTGTATCATAAACACCTGGGTGTGTGATGGATATCCTGACTGTCCTGATGGCAGCGATGAGCTTGGATGTCCTACGGGTTTGAACTTTTACTGAATGAAGTTTAAACTGAAAAAAAAAAACATAACAGAAGTAACAACTAGCTTAGATTTTATTTTAATAGGCAAGTGTGCACAAATTGTGGCTGTTAGTAGGTTTTCTGTTTCTTTGTGACATATTTAATATGAAATTCAATTCTAAAACAATTTAAAGGATAACTTTATTAATGTGAAATTTTGTTTTATTCATAAAGAATGTTTTTTTGTGTGTGAATACTTCTAAACGCCTTGCAAAACCAATTCAATTATATTTTTAATTCATTCAATTTAATTAGATTTAATTTAATGTTCTGCTGAACCACAGATATTTGTTATATTAGTGAAAGTGTGGTAACAGCCATTATTGTTATTTTTTGTGACTATTTGTTAAAATATTTTTTAATCATTTTGTAATTACACAATTTTTAGGTTAATAACTATGGAAACAACGACAATGTGGAATTTAGAAAAATAAAAAAGGAAAAACAGAATTTGGAAAAAAATAACAGAATTTGGAAAAAATTGAACTGATTTTATAGGAGCCTATTAATCATAAAGACTCATATTATGCTTGTTTAATTGTCAATCAAAAAGTTAAAGTTTATACAGACTGTTATTTTAGCATTGATGACGTAATTTAAGAACATAAAATCAGGGTTTCAAACCTGGTGCAGCCATCCTCAGTGTGTGTGTGCGTGCGTGCGTGCGTGCGTGCGTGCCTGCGTGCGTGCGTGCGTGCGTGCGTGCAATGGGACACTGTTAAATGTAAAGGGAAACAAAATGTAGTGATTTGCAAATCTGATAAATATATTTTATTAACAAAGAAACAGAAAACTATGGAAGAGCATTGCATTCACCTAATAAAATAACATTTGACTCCTGATCTCATAATTACGAGATGTTATCTCGTATTACTAGATGTTATCTCATAATTACGAGATGTTATCTCATATTACGAGATGTTATCTCATATTTACGAGATGTTATCTCATATTTACGAGATGTTCTCATATCACGAGATGTTATTTCATATTACGAGATGTTATCTCATATTACGAGATGTTATCTTATAATTATGAGATGTTATCTCATATTATGAGTTGTTATATCATAATTACGAGATGTTATATCATAATTACGAGATGTTATATCATAATTACGAGATGTTATCTCATAATTGCGAGATGTTATCTCGTAATTGCGAGATGTTATCTCGTAATTACGAGATGTTATCTAATAATTACGAGATGTTATCTCATATCACGAGATGTTATCTCATATCACGAGATGTTATCTCATATCACGAGATGTTATCTAATAATCACGAGAAGTTATCTCATATTACGAGATGTTATCTCATAATTACGAGATGTTATCTCTTATTACGAGTTGTTATCTCATAATTACGAGATGTTATCTCATAATTGCGAGTTGTTATCTCATAATTGCAAGTTGTTATCTCATAATTACGAGATGTTATCTAATAATTACGAGATGTTTTCGTAATTACGTGTTATCTCATATTACGAGATGTTATCTCATATTACGAGATGTTATCTCAAATTTACGAGTTGTTATCTCATAATTACGAGATGTTGTTTCATAATTACGAGATGTTATCTCATATTACGAGATGATATCTCATATTACGAGATGATATCTCATATTACGAGATGTTATTTCATAATTACGAGATGTTATCCCATAATTACGAGATGTTATCTCATATTACGAGTTGTTATCTCATAATTACGAGATGTTGTTTCATAATTACGAGGTTATCTCATAATTACGAGATGTTATCTCATAATTACGAGATGTTCTCATATTACGAGATGTTCTCATAATTACGAGATGTTCTCATATTACGAGATGTTCTCATATTACGAGATGTTCTCATATTACGAGATGTTATCTCATAATTACGAGAAAAGATCTTATCTCGTAATTATAAGTTAAAGAGGGTCAGCTGATTTACATTACATGAAAAGTAAATGACGGCACCATCACATTTTATATATATTTTCCCTCTTAGGGATGAAATATTGTGAAATACTGAGTTTACTATCAATGTGGGTTTATTAATAAATGCATCTGCACACCTGTTAGAGGGTTCTGTTCAACTCAGTTTCGGCAGCTTCGGCACAAACATAACACTGTCATTTAGCTGGTAGTGGTGCTTCCGGTTTCAGCAAATGGATATTTCAAAATAAGAGTCCGATTCAATACAGTCCGAACACAACATTACAGAGATGGTAAGATGCTGTATGGATGGTAGTATGTCGACAGCAGATATCTTCCTTACAGGTGTTCAAGTGAAAAGCCCACTCTGACATACTGGAAGTCGCTCTCTTCCTGCAGTACGGGATGCTACGGCTATAATTAGCTAATGCATCTGAAATGCTTAAATTACGTCCTGAATGTACACAAAGAGCACTTCCTGTTTCAACACTGGGTCACAACTTTATTAAACTCTGGTGAAATAACATTATACAGCTTGTTCTGGGCTCTCGTGCCTTTGGCATTACACACATCCAGGACCGTTACCTGCTCATAATCCACAGGAGATCAGGATCTCATATTTATGACAGAATATGTCATAATTATGAGATCCAGATCAGGAGTCCTAATTTTTTTATTTGGTAAAGGCAACGCTCTTCCATAGAAAACAAATCAGTTGTTAAAGTTAATAAATTGTAATGTTTTGTAGAAAAAAAGCAGTTTTGCATTTTATGGCAGCAACCACTCAAAAACTTTGAACAGAGCAAAATGTAAGTAGATACAACCTTCAACTAATTATGTTTATTTACAACAGACCACAGAAAGGGTGAGGAATAAAAAGAGCCTTTTAGAGAGAAGGAATTTAGAGGTTCATCAGTCTGCAAACAGTCAGGAACTCCAGTTTCCTCTTACTGTCTCAAACCATGCATGTTAGCTGCAGCCAGGTTAGCTTTGTAAAGAAATCAATGTGTTCTGAAATACAAACATGACTAACATTCCTAACTTGTCTGTCCAATGACAACAGCTAATAACGCATCAACGCTGACCCTGGCACCCACCCAGGCCCCACCTCCATCACCTGGCCACTGTACTCGTGGTCAGTTCCAGTGTCGCCGACCCCCCCACTGCATCCCAGAGTGGCTGCGCTGTGATGGCCACTTCAACTGTGAGGATGGCTCTGATGAGGCTCACTGTCGTAAGTCTCTAAAGCCACAATCTGTTTGGATCGTCTCAACAAAGTGCTGTGTTGACTAACTGACAGCCTTTAGCCTCAATGTTTCTGCAGCTTTAGTGGCTGGTGGACATTAGAACCAGCTCCACATCATCACTGTGCCAAGATCTGATTTCTTCAAAACACTTACTTTTTTTACCAAAATGTTTTCAGTCTTGCACCGATGACTGCATGAAAACATGGTAATGTTCTGGTGACTGTATTTTTGAACTCAGTCTAAAACAGAAGTTCAGTTACAGTAAAACAGCTCAGAACAGAAGAATAAGAGACGCTGTAAACAAAACAAGCTGTAAAGTTATTCAAGACTTACAGTTTTCTTACCCATTTAGCTAACTTTGTTTCCTTGGATGAAACACTTAAAATGTCAATTATTTTATTTTGGCTTTACCTTTTTTTAACCTTTTAAAACGTTTTTTTGTAATATTCCCTTTAATAAAGTTGCACTAAACAATCAGTCAGTTTTCATGTTGATTGGCTCAAACTGATAACTAGCTGGATAAATCCTAAAGATCATGCATGCAAACATGTTGTCAGTTCAGTAGTGTTTTTACGTGACAAAAGAAACCCAGAAGATAATAATCTGTACAGTGAGTGCTTGTTTGGTCTGGTTGGGGTGAAGTGAAGCTGAACACTACATTGTTAATGCGAGGTCGATGCCACTAATCCCACAGAAAAACCTGCAGAGGGATTTCAGTCGGCAGAAGCACTGGGTTATTTTAACTAGGTGTGGTGCCTTAATGGTTGGTGAAACACTGCTTTTTGTGTGTTAGTGAAGAAAAACTTATCAATGTTGAGGCGACTGCAGTGTGCCAAACAAGAACATTTTGTTTCATTTTTTCTTTTAAATTACTAAAAGGAATATCGTGATGCATCTCAGTAATCCAGGTAGAAAAACTCAGTAGGTCCTCTGGATGGTTCTTCTTTAGTGACACGTTTCGTCTCTTCTCCAAAAGACTTCTTCAGTCTGATGAGTTTCAGGTGAACTCAGTCTTATAAGCTCCGCCTCCACCTGGACAAACAGGTTAGTCACATGCAAAAGAGGGCCATCGACTAACAATAGGCTTGATTAGCTCTATTGTTCATAGAGGGTCATGTGACCCATCACCTGACTTATTGGTTTGGATGCTGTGGTTATTTGGTGTTTTGTTATGTTTATGTAGTGAATGCAGGCGGGGCTCAAAGTCCTCTTGTTTTTGTCTCTGTTTCCCTCTTTGTGTTGGTATCATTGGAGCCCTGATTCACATAACATGAAGCATGAGCCTCTATGAATAATAGAGCTAATCAAGCCTATTGCTAGGCGATGGTCCTCTTTTGCATGTGACTAACCTGTTTGTCCAGGTGGAGGCGGAGCTTATAAGGCTGAGTTCACCTGAAACTATCAGACTGAAGAAGTCTCTTGGAGGAGAGATGAAACGTTTCACTAAAGAAGAACCATCCAGAGGACCTACTAATTTTTTTCTTTTTGACTAAAAGGAATAGTTTTCTGATTTTATAGCAACATTCTGTGGAGTTTTGCTTTTATGATGCACGTGCAAAGTACAAACTGAACATTTGTTGTGTTTTTACTACATTTTCAGGACATCATGTTCTGTTGAGTTAGGTAAAAATAAATGTTAGTAAAGGAATAGTTAAATGTGTTATATGTAGTTTAAAGACACAACTTTGTGGGGCAGGAGTATTAAAAAAGGTCTATCCAAAAAGTTCAACCTGCAGTACCTCCAGGACCCCACTAGGGTTGAGTCACAACCCCCTCATTGAAGACCTCTGTGCCATGAATTGGCAAAAATGAACCCAGGGTGCAGGCAGCTTCAAAAAGGAAAAAAAWAAGATTTATTAAACAAAAATTGCTGACAGGGCAGCTCAAAAACTCACTTGGGGAGCCGAGCCGAGCCGAGCCCACACAGGCTGTGAACAGCACAATGATCAGACAGGGAAGTGAAGACAAGACACAGAATATAAAGGTGAGACTAACGAACACAAACAGGAAACA